CCTCTCTCCTCAATCACTCATTTGCAAAGAGCGTATCAGAACTTCATGTTCTAAATATTTCTATGCCTCTATCAAATTTTGTTAAAATTGATCAAAAAGGTTAAAAACCAGCAGAGGGCTGGGGAGGGTGGCAGCTGCCAGACACAGCTGCAGGCAAACTGCACATTGCACAAGGTTACTGCCTCGGACACCCCGCCTGCAGTTATGAAGGGCAATTTCTTAAGCACCAGAAATCCTCAGCTAATCACAGCAGCTCCGGCTCCGCTGAAGGAAAGGCAGTTTACCAGTTCAGACCAGCTCACAAACTGCCTCAGCCCCTCTAAAGATGTCTTTATTCCCTGAGAAAGGAATAAAGAGCAATAACTGGCTGAAACTTTCATCTTGCTTCACATAAGCAACAACAACAAAAAAAAGTGTTTCTGTGGCAACACTTCCAGTTCTTTGTTTTTTAAGCACATAAGCCACAAAGCAGTTTGCCACAGATCTTGCCGATCAGCGGCACATATAAGCTTCAAGAGTTCCAGGAAAAAGAAAGAAGTATCCTTTTTCTTTCCTTCGTGCTTCATTAAACTTCAGCATTAACCGGGAGAAAAGACCCCTTTGGATAACATTGGTCAATGCAGCCACTAGTTGGTGATTTTTTCTGAAATTAGCTACTAGCAAGTGAGCAATTGTAAGAGTAGAGTTGATAGGGAGAAGCTGATATGGACAAGGAAAGGAAAGCACACAAAGGAAAACACTTCTGTTCATTCCGGCCTGGAGATATCTACAGTCACTGCTGGTACCAACAGGAGCACAAGTCACTGCTGGCCTTGATTTGTAGGTTGCTGGAGGGGATGTTTTGAGAGTGAAGCTGCTGAAGGAGGAAGGAGGAAGGAGGAAGGAGGAAGGAGGAAGGAGGAAGGAGGAAGGAGGAAGGAAAATCAAGAACAGATTTAAGGAAGGAGGAAAAAGTACACCCCTCAAGGCACTATTGTAAAACTAAATACAGTGCCTTTAAAGAAGATATTGGAAACTCTTGTAATGTAATCAACCAAGTATCTGTGCAAATGTCTTTCCATTAGAGAACAGCTTCTAATAATGACAGCAAACACTTGCATCTAACAGCCATACGCACCCCCTCTAAGGGGCCTCTGCTTTTTGCCAATGATGACAGGTGGGTGTATTTGAGGAACAAAGGGAAGCCAGGGCCACCAGAGATCCCAGATAAGCAACTGCCCTAATGAGAGGGGAAGCAGCAGCACATGGAAAATCTCCTTATGGAAGAGGGTGCAAGTGATGCTTGTCTAAACAAAAGAGGAGAAGGGAAAGCGATAAAGCAAAAATTTAAGGATGTTCTGAGTGGAAAAAGGACGGAGGGTGAAGGAGAAAGCATCTGTACACAATTTCCCGTATAATATCTTCAGCTTCCCAGCATCTGGGAGCCTGGACAGAGTCCTCCATCTCTGAGAGCCACTAGAGGATGTCAACACATGAGATTCATAGAAGACACTGTCACAGTAACAAGAACAGCGTTAAGACAATGGGTATTGTCACTCAGACTCCCAAGTTTGGAGTTGCAAGGACCCACCAAGGTGAAAGCAGTTGAGAAGAGAGCCTGTCCATCACTGAAGTACTTCTACAACCCCTGAGTAGAAGGATTCTTGACCACCCACTGGACTTTAAGCAGGATTTTCCTTTGAGATAGTGCAGTGACAACAGAGCTCACACAGCCTCTACTCCTAACGAGGGAGTGTGTTTTCTGGCCCAACATGAGTTCTCCTCCCGGCCCCGTGGTTAAATTACATAGACATAGAAATATAGAATGGTTAGAGTCGGAAGGGACCTTAAAGATCATTGAATTCTAACCCCTCTGCCATGGGCAGGGACACCCAGCACCAAGTATTTGTATGCTGCAGGACAAACCCTTCTCAGACAGAACTGAAAACCTCACAGGGCTGTACAAGAACTGGCAAACATCTACAGCTGCAATTCTTTACCCAAGCAAATGGCAAAACATGTGAGGAAGGAGGAAGGAGGAAGGAGGAAGGAGGAAGGAGGAAGGAGGAGAGGAGGAGAGGAGGAGAGGAGGAGAGGAGGAGAGGAGGAGAGGAGAAGTTTTCTGCACAGGGTGACAGTGGAGAAGTCACGAAGACTCACCTTGCTGAAATGTAATCATCTAAATGTCAGCATTTGCTCTGAATTTGCTGCCTGTGTGTCTTCCCCAGAGAAGAAGGAGAGGGAGCGGCACCGCCAGCGTGTGCCCCTTCCTGTCACCCCAGTGGGGAAGATGGCAGGGAGGCATTACAGTTATTAAAAGCAAAGTATTCAGACAAACTTGAAATTTTCCACTTTTTAGCTCTTCTACTTTCCAGGTCTAACTGACCTGGAAAGCTCTAAACAATCCTCAAAAACTAGAGTAGTTCACAATCTGGCTCTACGTTTTTAGGTACTAGTGTTTTGAAATATATATATGGGATTTTACATGAATTAAATCTTTTTATTCCACTCTCTGGTAATATACTATGGAATTATTTCAGTTCAGTCTGGAATTCCTGTAGTTTCCTTTCTCTCAAAAAGAAAGAACATCCCTGTGAAGTCAAAAAGTGAAATGGAAAAAAAAAGCATCCTACCAAAAAGCTGAAGTGCTGAAGACTCTGTGTAAAACCACTTGAGACTGTGCTACTGTTATGTGTCCTTATAGGGAATGTGTAACTATTAAAGAGTCTGGAAAGCTACAAAAACATTGTACAGATCTGCCAGCTCAATTTAAAAATAAAAAAGCCAACAGTGAAGATTCAGGAAATATAAAGCCTAACACATTAAGTAACTGCTTTATTTCAAAATAAAAGCAAAATCTGTTAGAATTTTTTTCTCGAGGCAAGAAAATAAAGTGCACTGCTGAAAATAAAAGGTAACATGCTTAATATAAAATATAATTTAAACTGTAATTTTAATGATTTTTTAAAATTAATTCATATATTTGGCCCTAAGCCACTAGCTATTAAATGGCTTGGGAAGGGAGGGGGGGGGTATATTGAAAGTACAGAACAGCATTTAAACTATAATCATTCTTCAAGTAATACATGGAATTATCAAAATCTTAATTAACAGGCATAACTTGTGTCCACCAGCCACGTCCAAGGTCACAGTGATATCGTAATTCAGAATGCTTGCTTCAGCTTTAAGCTCGTATCTGCGTATCTGTACCACCAGGTATACCATACTCAAACACAGTTTTTATGGCTACACAATGCACCACGACTTGAAGACTCCCAGTAAACACTAAAAAAAATCTGCATGTGCATACAGACAAGCCAGTTTAGTTATCTTATCTCCATGCCAAATGTACTTGGTGGACTAGTCTGAGACTAAATTTATTGGGGTCCAAAAAAGGATATTAATCCAAGTCTCCACAGTTCAAAATATAACACTCACTGAAAATAAATAAAACTCACTAATACATTTCTCACACAACCTGCACAACCGTTATTTTGCTTTCCTTTTTGTCAGATTTTATGTGCATCATAAGATATAAAATCTGCATTAACCAATCTGCTAGGGAAGAGAGTTTGTGAAAGGCCCTATCCCGCATGGTTATCTACAGGTTAGACGTGACGAGCCAGAAGACCTCTAGTATAAGAGGAAGAGCTTAACACAACAGCTGGCCAGAACAGAGGGTACCAGCAAAGGCTCCGGCATTTCCCAGCTGAGAAAACAGCATTTCACCACAGGTCGTACAGCAAACACACAGGCTACCACCAGAGGAAATAAAATATTTGAACAAGCAGAGAGCTCTGCGTTTCAGTCATGCGTGAAGAGAAACCCAGTAAATAAGAATTATAAGAATTATACAATGCCACCATGAACTTGCCCTTAAGAGACACAAAACAGTGTATTCTCAATGGAATAGAATCAGCAAACACAGAAGAATAATTGGGGGGTTTTTCCTGAAGGTATAGGAAGCACAGACAATTTTCTAAGAATCAGAGAAGGAAGATTAAAGAACACTAAAAGAATGAGTAGGACTGAATTCTTCTGTAGAAAAATCCCCTTTAGTTTACTTTTAAAACACCAAAAATTAAAACAGATCCACTTTGTTTTTGGTCACAGACTTATATTCCAATCATTCCGAGGCTGGGAAAATGAGAGATAAGAGGTTGAATAATGCAAAATAAAGGAGCAGGAATTCACAGGGATGTCTGATGTTCACCACTGAAATGTGAGAGTGGCTAATCACATAACAGAGCTTGTCTACAAAGAGCTCTTCAAGAAACAGCGAGATTGTTCAAGTGCACAAATCCTTCTGCTCGGAAGCAGGGAAGGCTAGTTTTTTATTTAAACTCTGCCAGAGCTAAGAGCAGGAGCAGCAGCTGATTTTAGTTTTTAATGACTACGTGGTGCATTCCTCTTGACCACAGGTTGCAGTTCTGGAAAAAGGGAATGATAAGGAAAAATAGATTCCATCTGATGAAGAGGGAAAAGCATCCTGGAATATCAACTCGACAATCTAAGAAGTCTGTTTTGAGCTAGTTGTGAGGGGCATAGTGACAAATGCCCATATGGAAGTAAAACCAGCAAAAAAAACCCCTACAGATCAAGCAGTAAGACTGGAATTTACAGTTTGGAGACCAGAAATCAGACTAGGCTACAGCAGACTGGGAACAGCAGGACACCAGAGCAAACTGCCTGGGTGTCTGGAGAAGACAGGCAGATGACTGTGTGCAGGGAGTGCAAGCTCCCTCTTGCACATACACTGGCCCAATCTCATCTTGCTTTGTGGACCGATCTCCCACAAACACACCCATTGACTGATGTGTTGCTTTTGGATGACCCCTGTGATGAAAAGAGGAGTTTAACAGACAAATTTGCAAAATATTTATACTAAGTATGAATATTTGTGCTCAGAGGAATGGATAAAATAGAAAATCTGGTTTAGACAGCATACAAAATGTCCTGGAAATGTAATGCATCAAAAGTATTTTGATTTAATTTAAAATACTTTAAAAATAAATATTTACCCAGATCCTTAATGATTGATAATGCTTCCCATGATATAAATGCTCCACCACCGTCATCCATAGCTCCCTGCCCAACGTCCCAGCTGTCCAGATGTCCACTGACCAATACAATCTGGAAAAGCAATTATGAGAAAACATATCTACATGAAAACACCCAATCATAAAAGTCAGTTCAGCATTTAAGCATTTTAATGATTTTGTCATAAATTTGGCTTTTTAATTTAGAGCAGCAGAAAGGAAACATTTCAGATAAAACTCTCGTTCTCTAGTCCCTGAATACAAACCTGGGACGACCAAATGCATCTACTGCTTCAAACCACTGCATGAACCAAACTAGAAATGCCGTGAGGAATGTTTATATGAAAGGTTTTGTCTTTACGTTAACAAAGTGCATACTTCCCAGAAATACAGGACTACTACATTGCAGAATGGTGAAAATTTCTTTCATATTCTGGCTATTTAAGCCCTCAGGGATGAAATTTCATTAACCCTGGTTTTGGGTGCATAAGTAAGAAATATAAACTTAAACTGAAGTGCTCCCAGACACTGTTGGTTTATTATATAACTATGGTACTTGCCGCAGAGGACGTCTAATTTATTACTGGATCCCCTATGTGCTACAACAATGACAAGGCATTTTATAGTTCCATTAGTCATGGGGATATTTTAAATTAAAAACTACGTGGTAGCAAGTCCCAGATGGGTTTTCTGCAAAGAAAGTTTTGTGGTTACAGCAGAGTAGAGCCATATACGTTTCTCCACAGCCACCCACTTTCAGACCTGAACTCTTCAAATGTCGACAAGCAGCACCAGACCAACATAAGAAGTGAGACTGTTCCCTAACTGGACCCGAAGCTGAAGGGCTGATGGATCTGTGATTGCAATGGTGAGGTCAAGGAGGGACAAGAACTCTGAGCAGGCAGTGTGGTAAAACGATGCAATAGGTCAAAAACAAGAGCAAGGAGCCACCACAGTTCTCCAGGAGTCTTTGAAGAGCTGGTACCAGTAAAAAGTGCCCTTAGGATAGGGTGGAAGTGGAAGCATCCAACCTATGACAACTTAGCACTGAGCAAAAACTGAAGGAGAACCTGGAGCATCTGTCTGTGTCCTGCCCAGAACTGGCCACACATGAAGGGATGCTTCCAGCTCCCTGGTCGGTGGATGTCAAAGCTCTCAGAGTTCTGGGCTCTAGAATGAGGTGAAAAATACTTGTTCCTCCTCCCACCTTCTTCTCCCTAAGGGATGAGGCACTCCTTGGCATACCATCTCAGCTTTCATACATCGCAGGACAACTACTCTAGCACTGATAATGAGAACACAACGAGTTTTTCCTACTATCACCCCTGGAGGTAGAGAGTCTGTGCTATCAGGTATGCAGCTGACATTGCAAGGAACTAACCTGGGGTCCCAAAACATGAAAACCTCTATTTTCCACTTCACATGAGAGAAATTTTAGTTAAATGTTCACTGATTATTAAAAATAGCACGCAAACAGATCATGGCAATGGAGTGCAGCAAATATGAACTCATGTAGCTTAACTAAAAGGCCCTTTTGCATCAACCAAGGGCCAAGACAAATTACTAGTCATATATATCGTATTGTCCAGCCAGAATGCACCAAAACTCATTAAATTTCAAAAACACACTATGTTTATAAATGTGCGTATCATAAAAACCACCAGCATCATGCTTTAGAAGCTGGAAAAGCTTGTGTTCAGAATCTGAAGAGCAGCTTATTCTTTCCTTCTCAGATGTTTCAACTCTCTTTTTTGCTTACCCAGCCCCAACTGAACATGTGCTTGCTTTCCAGCACAGATTTTGTTGGTAGTAGACAGACATGCTGCAGCCTTTAGTCCAAAACCTCCCCTCCTTCAAAAGTGCTTAAATTTAGATGGCAGGCCCCTCTGTAAAAGCCTCAGATTTACTCAGGAGCTGTTCCTGCAGTTTAATGTCATGATCCTCCCAAGCCCAGCGTGAGAGGCTGCAAACAGCCTGTTTTCCAGGGATGCTGCCCCGCAGTAGAAGTACTTAATCTGCAGCAGCCCTCTGCTACAATAGCAACGCAGCCTGAAACCAGATAATCTAAGAAAAGCCGTGCCAGCTTTGGAGGTAAAAACCTTTCTGAAATGAGAGCAGAAAAGAAGTGCTCACTGCGGTACTCCTTGCTCTTTTTGTTTTCTTGTAAGGGAGGACTCAGCACACACACAAAGCATGAATGATCCTGCTTCCAGAGCTTGGGGTGCACCTGGAGCCCCACTGCAACCTTCTCTTCCCTTCCAACCACCACCACACTTTGCAGCCGATGGGTGCAGGCTCGTTACTGTCCACTCAATAAAGAATTTGCAAACAATAAATTAAAAACCAAACCAAAGCAAAAGCAAACAGAAGGCTCTGAGTGAAAGCACAACTGACTGCAGTTTAAATGATGTCTATTCCACAACTTCAAAATCGCCATGTGCTTTGTTTGCTCTTAAAGCAAAAATTGGTTTTAGGAAGGTAACTATTCACTCTCCTGGGAAACAGAGCTTCAAGCTGAAGGGAATTATTTAGAAGCAGTTTGTAAACTCATTGAGACCCAGGTTTATGATAGAAACAATGCCTTGTCTTTAGCTGTGAAAGAATACTTCACTACTGCTGTTCCCTGGCAGCAATCTCAACATGAGCATCTGAAAAGGAATTACTCCTCGTTTCTGTGAAACAACACATATTGCAACAGCAGGAATTTCTGAATCAGAAGAAGGTGGTGTAATCCCACTTGGGGCTACAGACTCCAATCACAAAGCATCTTTACCAGCTCCAGAACATTACACCAAAACAGATCAAGGTTCAAATGGATTGAGAAAGTCAGATCATTTTATGGATGAACTTTTACTTAAATTTACTTAAGCTGATGCCAAGAGCAATTACATAAATACAACCAATGTACTTCTATGTGAAAGTTTTTTAGGAACAGTTGTTTTTTTAGCTGTCATGCTTCTGCAGCAGCAGCTCAAATGAAAGTTTCCATGATCCTGCTGATAGCTGGCCATAGACATTCTTAAAATAAGACACAGTCATAAAATAACAAAACCACTATGTTTATCTTGGTCTTTAAGTAGATATAATCTGTCTGGTCCATGAATGGAAATATTTCTGAAATTCACTCTAAACCACTATATTATTTAAAATAATATTATAGAATAACAGTATTATAATTCTCTGTACAGTTGGGCTAATAACAAAGGCAGTTAAAGCTATCATGTAAGTATGATTGTTGCATTTTCCACACTGCTTTCAAATGTGTTACGTGGCTCTCAGCTCCAAATCTACATATAGACTAATCACTTACATTTGCACAAAATATCCCTATAGAAATATCAGCACATGCTAACACAACGTAAGCATTGCACAGCAATGTATGTAAACATATGTACGTATTTGTTTTAAATACATAGAGAAACCACAAGCAACTGTATAGGACAGTACGAATACAGCAATACAGATTTGCCAAAATGACCAAAATTAATTTAGGATAAGACAGTTCACATGCAACATTCCGAGTTAAGATTTGGCAGTCCTGCAGTGACAGAGCTAAGAAATGCTACTTAGACACAGCCCTGAGACAATACAACAGAAGGGAAACTGCAGGAAACATTACAAATAGAAGGTGAGTTATTGTATTTCCTTCTGCACCAACATTGTGACCTTTACTGGATGACTTTAAGTCATGCCCAGCATTTCAATCAAGCACATTGAAACATTTTGAAGTTTATATTATATTTTTTATATATGTATATAAATATCTATTTACGTATTTCATATCTTAAAACCGATAAGATTAGGAAGAGGAATGACGCGTTCACATACATTTGCATATGTCATGGAGTTAACCATTTCTAAGCAGGATGGCTTTTGCCACTAAAATCTAATCTCCTATTCCATACATAGTCACGCATGCCTATTGCATTTGTCACAGAATAACTCCATAAAATGTAGGTGAACTACCTTCTGCTTGGTTAGAGGGAATTTTAAGAAAAGTCTATTCCACTCTTAGAGAGTCTCCACAATCTCACTTGCTCCTGTAGAGGTACAAGGCAAAGGCTTCTTTCCACCCAACATTAGAGGTCATAAATAATAAACATTAGGAAAAAACTGTAAGTAACATTTTCAATCACAGAGTCTAGTCTACTATAACGTATCAAGTTGTGAAAACCAGCATGCAAAGCTATTTCATGTCACTGACGTAGATGGTTATGGACGAGTAATGAAGTAATTGTTCATCTTTGCCCTTCACAGATGAAGACAACTTCATGGATGGAGGTTAGGGTCCACAAAGTAGGACCTTTAGTGATGGAATCTGGCTATCAACACATTCTCTTAGAAAAGCTTAGTAAGAACTTCCATTACCCAAACCACTGAAAAACATTTTTGCTTACATCTTCTTCTAGTAGACAGGGAAGACAATGAGTGCCTCAACTTGCATGGAGAGGACAGAAAACTTAAGTATCATATACACAAAGAATGAGATGATGAAGAACTAAACAGGCTAGCAGAACCAGATCAAGCATCTTCAACCAAGACACATTCAAGCTCCATGTTTCTGTGTGCCAAAACTTCAAGCTAAAACAGTGAAGTGCTCTAAGACTGTAACTCAAGTTCTTTCCAACTGCTCATCCACATTTTCAGCCAAATACTGCCATAAGTTAGTTGTTTGATAGGGTAACACAGGTTGATGTTATTCCAGCCCAGTTCCCAATTACCTGGAAATTCATGAAAAATATTTCTATTCAAATTTCTGTGGTTCTTTTTTTTCCCTCCAGTTTGCTTCCAGATAGGTCCATCTTAAGCTCTAGGTACCACAATAAGGTCTTACATTATTGACTGGGTATTTTTTCCTCATGAATCCTCTCCCAGTGCATGAGATACTTGTACAATACCTAACACACATATGAACACCACATACAATTGATTTGTGTTTGGACCAAAATTAGAGGAAAACAGAAGTCAGATGAGAATTAGGATCCCCTAATCATTCTGATAAAAAATTGCCTAGAAATTCTTTCCTTCCCCAGATACTCATTATTCCTTTTACTCACACAAACACTCTCTCACTTCACAATTTCCTATTTTCCC